ATTCCTGTGGTTATGTACCCACTATCCAGTGAACTGTCACAACACTTATGTTCTGCACAACTCCCACATTTGTTGAATGGTTGCTCTCCTGGATCATCAGGGCTGGCTCACAGGTGACAAGGGGTACCTCTAGAAGGTATGGTTAATAACCCCAATGTAAAACCTTCAAACAGATGCTGAACAGTGCTATAATGCAGCCCTTGTAACTACTAGGAACGTTACTGAACAGACAATTAGTCTTCTGAAAGGCACTTTTTTTGGCTGGACCACTCAGGAGGAGCACTGATACTCAGTGGACAGTCTCCAGAATATTGATTGTTTGCGGTACCTCTAGCTCAACAACAGGTGAAGGGAAGATGGACTAGCCACATGTCTCCTCAGAAGACGAAAAAGAGGAGGCTGATGGAGACACTGAGGGCACCAAAACTGATGCTGAGGAAGCACGGGCAGGACTGGTTCAAGGCAAACATGCCCGAGAGAACCTGAAATGGCGAGATTTGAGTGTAATTGTCATTGATTGAACATTTGTGAACATTCTGAAATGGCGAGATTTGAGTGTGATTGTCACTGATTGAACATTTGGGAACACTTAGAACTATGAGCCATTTCTGGTGGAGAGGTGTTCCTGCCCTCAAGGGAAATGTTTGGTTTATAAATGTCAAACATTACATTAATTTGTTGAGTACAGGTTGTAAATGATTTTGTTCCCATTGCATCAGTAACCTTCTGCACAGTTTCATAGACACGGCATCAGTATAGAGTTATGCAGAAGACTCTGTTTCTGTGCCTCATGACGTTATGACTCTATTAAATGGTGGCTGCACTTATATAACTCAAACTTCAGTTTGCAGGGGGCATTCAGCTATCACTGAGATGTGGAGTAACTACACTATGTTGATGATTCTCAAAACCCAAACATCTTTTTCGGTTGCTGCTGTCTCGAGGATATGATCCTCCCAGACGTCAGCAGTGAATGATAGCCTTAGCATTCTTTGCAATGCTACATATGATGCACACGTGGGTGTCTAGGGTTACCTTGTCCCTTGAAGTAGTCTACAAGGAAAATATAAATAGTCAGATGCCTTAATGGATTTAAAGAGTTCACAGAATGTCATACAGCATGTTGCATTTGTTTGATGGTACAGAATGCTGTACCGAAGATGAACATCTGTGCATGCAAAGAGGCTTCAAATGCTCTTTAATCTTTCTCTTCCTACTGCTACTACTTGGTATCACATCAACAATTGACCTTGAGAATGCCTCTTGACTGCTTTGCTGCCATGCTTCAGATGACTTTGGCAGGGTTCCTCTGTTGCGCCTTGGCCTAGAGGCTTCTGGTTTGCTGGGAGGCTCTTGCAAGGCTGCAGCAGCAACCTCTTCGAACCGACCTGATGAAGGCAGTTTCGTCCCTGGTAGAGAGGAGATGGTGTGGTAGGGCAACTTCCGAGTATCCTGGGGTGATATTCCCTAGATGCCTGTTTGTTGCTCCTCTCCCTTTCAGGGTACTCACCTCTTGAGGGGGATGGGATACATGGAGCGATGTCAAGATCCATCAGCCTTCTCTTGCCTAGCCAATTAGTGAATGCTTGAATGATGGAGTAAAGGTCCCCATGTATACCTGGCAGAAACTGATTATTCTGTGGGACCCGAATCTCCATAATAGCTGACAGATGGTCCATGGGGACTGCTTCGTGCTTGCATGCTGGAGACATGACATTGAACAGATCTTTTGTCAGACTCCACTGCCTTTCAATTCAATCTGCACATGGCTTGGGAGTGGGATCTGGAGGCTACATAGCAAAAAATTAGGATTTGTTAGACTTGTGCCACAGTTACCCAAGGTTTTATTAAGATGTCGGTGCTGGATGTGCAGGGAGCAGCAGATTGTAGGCTTTATTATTAAATGGCTGTAGCTATCAAATACCACTTCAGCACAGGTACACTCCTCATGCTCTCCTGCCAGCCCAGCAGCATGCTCCTTGAAGGGTTTGAAGACCTGTATTTTAGGCATCTGTCCACATCTCTAGTCATGTTCATATGTGTTATGCATGATCTTCTCCTGCAGAAGGAGAAAAGCATTGAGAGACATTAGCATGGGTACATGAACACTTTTTTGTGCATTGATAGATAGATAGATGTCTATACTCAGAGCTGGATTGTCTGTGTGCGTTACTATAGTAGTAAGAAGAATGTGACATGGAGGAATTTAGGAATTACAGGCTTCTTATTGAAAGGTGGTCCAATGTTGTCAAAGAGCTGGAACTAATAACAACAATGAAGTATTACATTATGTGAGTGCACCAGATATCTGTGAGGTGTTCTTGCTGATCTCTCTTTTGTGTGCGTGTCCTTGTCCCATGCAAGCCTTTCGTGAAGCACTATCAGATGTGTACATTCTCCTCGTGGTAATGAAAGGTTAGGGAGCTGATTGTGTGTGAGTTGCTGAGTGTTGCAGTTCCTTTTATGTTTAAAGTGTGAACTCTGGCAGATGTATGAGATCTAGCAGCACTGTGATGCTTGTTGGTAGCTGCAATTAAGTGACAGATATTGATTGCTCATGAGGCATCTGATGGAGATGCCTGGTACCCAATCTTGTGTGACACTCCTAGGCTATGGAAAGCTTACAATGCTCACTCACGGTCATAGGAGCAGCAGGCATCGAGTGGTGCTTACTTTAGAAGAATACAGCAAATCCTTCATCCTCTTGTGGCACTGAAGCCATGTTCTCTTGAGTTGTCCATGGGCACTGAGCTTTGCAGCCACCTCTTTCAGATAATCCAACTGTTTTAGGCAATTAGTTTGTCCTCTTGTTGCTGTCCCACGGGAAAATTGCTTCTCTCCTGGTCAACCTTCAGGAGATCCTCTACTGAGGCATTGCTGAACTGTGGTGCTTTTTTATTGCCTGGTCTCTGATATCCCCAGGGGTGGGTGGTGGTTATGAGCAGAGGTTGAGTGATACTACTGGGTTGCAGAGTGAGGGCTGTCTGTCTGCCATTTAAATATGGCAGCCTGAAATTGAAGCCCAGAAACATATCAGCCCATAAAATTTGGTGGTTTGCATATGCACGAATGTACAATGAACTAAGAAGGATGCAGTCTAGCAGTAAAACCCACCTTCCCTGAGCAAAAGTACCTTGTTCGTTTAGGCCTGCCTCCATGCTCAGTCTCAAAAAAAAATTCCATGATTTCCAAACTCCCTTTTCATTCCAGATTTATTTCATTAACCAAATTTAAATTCCCTCTCTTCTATGATAGAATTATCCTCTATCTCTGGATCATTAATTCAGGCCTTTGGATAATTAGTCCTCTAAAATAAGCATTATGCTATCACTCACATTAACATTGTTCATGTATTTCAAAGCTTTAGTTTCTTCATCCTTGATTATTTTCAAGTGTACCAGAAAGTCAGTCTTTGATTTCATGGTAACTGATAATATTGTGTTATATCTTGCCCTTTGTTAATAAAGTTTGATTGTGGCACCCATTTTCAGATCCTTGTCAAATTCAATCCGTGTCTCTTTTAATTGAAGGTATCGAGGAACATTTTCAATTGACATGCAGTTTTTCATATCTAAAGAAAATCCATCAATTATGATATTCCTCAATACAAAATCAACTGCTGTGTAAACTAAAATAACATGTAGCTTTAATATAAAATATAAAATTCTAAAAGATTTGTGAATTTGATATGTTAGGTATGTGTAACTCACCAAATGGGCAGGAATGGTATAACAATTTGGAAAGAACATATAGAATTTTTAATTTCATGTCTATGTTCCTTTTAAACGATTGCAATTTTCAAAACATGATAATTGATAACATCTACATTAAATGGTTGTGCTGTCAAAATGTGCACAATGCACAGACTTAAAACAACTGCCCATTAAGACACAAAGTTATGCCTGGTCTGTCATATCTCTTGTCTTTGGAGATTGTCTGTTGCCTTGCTGAGGCTAAACTAATGTTAATTCCTTAACAAGGTGGCACATTTAATGTCCCCTAAAACCTCACCATTGGCAAGACGGTTTAAAATAAAGCAGCATGCGCTATAGGATTATTAATGAGTGAGTCTCGGAATATGACATTTATCAGTGAGGCTGTGGAAAGGGATAAAAATATATTTGACTTTCTGTGCCCACAACAGGTGTCTACTTCTGCAAATCTGCATAAAAATATAAGCAAAACCAGGCAGCGTCATCCCCAGTAAAGATTTTTCTTCAAAGCAGCAGCATCAGGACCTCGTATCTGTCCCTCCGACAACAGCAGCAACGTTCTCCAGTGAAAGGGGAACAAACTGGGACAAATGCGCGTGTGCGGTTCCGCGTGACGGGTGAGGAAACTGTCGATCAAGGCCGCTCCACCTTTCGAAAGGTGAGGGAGAGACGGATGGTGTAAAATCGTCTCAAATCGCCGCGCCGGGAAGCAACTAGAGCTGGCGAGTCCAAGACATCGTCAGTCATGATAAGGTAAAGAAGGGGCTGCTGGGAGGGGAGGAGAAGCGTTTTAGGTGAGGTGCTGAGAGGATTATACATCAACCCAGACAACCACCATCCCCCCTCCCCATCTCCACAGTTCTGTCTGCTTGAGTGGTAGGTGCGATCCGGGCGGGGTTCCATGCGGCGCTCGCGGGGCAGGTGGGCGGGAGGCGCGTGCCCGGGGCTGTGCGCGCGCGTGGGGAAAGCCAAGCGACGACGCAGCGCGGTCCGGTCCACTCAAGTGAAGTCCAGTCCGGTCCAGTCCGATCCGGTCCAGTGCGGTCAAGTTCCAGTCCGGTCCCTCTCGTCCTTCCATCGGGCGTCGCTGAAAGTCACCGCGCCGCCGCTTCAGCACCACAAACATTCGCAGCCTTCAACCTCCAGCCCGCTTCATCCTGTCTCATTCCTGTCTCTCACTACCTTTTGTTTTAAGAAAACAAAATTATATTAATTTTAGGGGAAGGAAATCCGAACATTTTCTGTGGAAACCGGGGCAAGGAAAACCAAAGAGCGGGGAGGAGGAGGATGAACATGTCAGTGATTTCTCTTCAGGAGTATGACTTTGAGAAACAGTTCGACGAGAGGGGAGCCATAGAATGGATGCAGGAAAACTGGTGAGTGAATGCCGTGGATTGCAGGTGTACAAAACCACCCGCTTTTATTTTTAATAAAAATCGAATGTAGGATTTACGCGAATACTACAACAGAGATCCCAAATGATTTTGGTTTGATCAATATTCATGGAAAAAATAGGATCCATCTGCTCCTGAGGACTAAGCATCTGATGGAAGACCCTTGAAAGCTATTTGTGTGTTTTATTTTACATCTTAAAAGCTTCCGTTTGCAATCAAAGCTTAGGTCTGTGACCTAATTTTATTTGACAGTGCATAGTGATAACCAGGTCTCAGTGTAATAGAGCTGAGGTGAAGAGATTGAAAAAGGGTGGGTACACAATATAATGCAAGCTTGTGTCTACATTAAATACACTAAAATCATTCATCACAGCAACAGGCATTCCATATGGTGATCCTAATTGCTCAACTGGTGTTTTTCAGAAACCATATAGCTAAATTGACATATATATGTGATACAGGAGAATATTAGTTGCTAACTTTCATTTTGCCCAGATGGGTTGAAATAATATATCAGATTTAAAAGAAGAAAATGTTGAAAATACTTGGGTCAGACAGCTTCTGTGGAGAGAAAAACAAAATTAATGTTTTAAGTCAGTGAACCTTTATCAACCTAAACATAATAACTGTTTCTCTCTGCAGAGGCTGCCTGACCTAATTATTTTCAGCATTTTCATTTTAGGTACCCAGCATCTGCAGTATTTTGCTTTTATAAAGTAATATGTATGGTCACGTGCCCCATAATTACTTCAAAAGATGATAAAGATGATTTCACTTTTACTGTGATAATTTGCACACTGCATAATTATTGTTACCTTAAGAAAGTAAATAATTGCTGTCATCTTTGTGACAAGTGGTGACCATTTATGATGGTGCATTACTTGTTCCCTGGTTTCAGGAGATTATATGATATGAGGTGGATGTGTTTGGAGTGGTAATGGGATTTTTTACCTGTGATCAACTACTTTGCAGCACAGGTGAATATTGAAATAATTCCATTTACTTAGAAACCAAACCATGTGAGTATGGCAATTGGAAATGTATATATTTGATTCAGCACTCATTCATAACCTCAGAAACAGCAAGAGAATATTGTCTGTCTACAGAGAACTAGCATTGCTATTCAGTACCTTGTCAGTCAGTCTGTCTAGTCATTATATCTATTTCTGGATAATATAATATCTTGGATATGATGAAGCGACTAGCTTGAGGTTAGTCTGCGATGTAGATAATCCGTAAGTGACTCTGGTTTGTAACCCACAGGTGAAGAACTCACAAGTTGGTTAATGCAGTGGAAATTTACAACTGGAAATTTTTCAAAGCATTTCACGGTGATCCCAGTTTCTACCATGCACACTTAAAAACATGAATTTGTAAACATTTCAAATTTTAATTCTTTCAAAAATCTATGGCATTTATGCCAATATGACATTAGTAGAAGTGCCCTACCTCCAGTTCTGCAAAGTTTTGTTTGACTGTGGAAGTGGGCTCATATTAAAGAAAATGGACTGTAAATTACATCAGTATCAAAAAATGCTGCAACAGAAATGGAATCTGTTGTGGGATGATAGTGATAAATTTGTTTTCAAAAGCAGAAGTCGTTGCATATTTGTACTCGTGTCTTGTAGAATGAAACATTAGTAACTGGAAGAATTGCATACTTGAACATTATTAAGGGTAGAATCATCAATATTGCAGTTCTGGCACAAAATACCTGTGGACAAAGTTTTAAGTGGACTCTCAATTCTGTACCCCTGGGTTGGAGATGTACTGTTTGCATTGAATGCAACAAATGACATATTTTGGAATTTACAGCATCCCTAGAGTATGGAGAAAATTGGTCTTCTTCCTTTCCCACCTTCAAATGCTGTAGCTTTTGGGGCTACTAGGCTTCTGGAGGTGACAACTTACAGGCAAGATACAAAGTAAAATGGAAATATGAAGCCTAAGAACACTGGCCAATTATTGTGCAGATCAGGTAATATCTATGGAGTGACAGAAGTCAGATCATGTTTCTGGTCTTGAGAGTCTTTCCAGAACCTTATTTATTATTTGTTTTTTATTGTTCCATGGAACTGTTGAGTATTTCTAGCTTTTTCATGTTTTCAGCTACATGATAATCAGGTTTTCAAGGAGGGAGTACTGGACACAGGAATGTTAAAAAGTTGAACCTGATGCTGGGTAAACTGGATTAGCAAGAAAAAACTCATTTATTTACATCATGAAATTATTTATTTTTGGCATTACAAAGAATGGGCATTGTAACAACGTTTTCCTTTAGCATTAGAATTCAGGGAAAAAAATTTGCAGGCTGCAGTGGAGGTTCAAAACAGATTCGATTGCCCTACAAGTGCTTGATTATATGAATGGTTTCCTGTACCTCTGTGACTCTTGCAAATTATTATTGTACCGTAATTTCTAACCTTCTATAATTTTATTCAAGATTTAGCGAATTGTCTGGTAACCAGCATTCTAAGAAATGGTAATTAGTAGTTCTCTTTTACTGTATATATTTTTGATCTGTGATATTGTAAAAAGATTGCATTGTGGTTTAAAAATGCCTTGAATGACTGAAGATTGCCATTGTCTTAGATGTTTTCCATGTAATCTTTACTGTCCCAAGTTCTCTTAACCAATTTATGTTACAGTTATAGTACATCCTGACCTGAGAACAAATCTTATTATTCTTTATATCTATTGTCTAATCCTTTTAACCTTTCTTTCTTCCTGCCGGAAACACGAAAAACAAATAAATAGATTGGTTTTGAGTGGCAATGTGATACCAATTGGATATCAAATTAAAATAGTTGGAAGTACAAATAAGTGGGAATGAGAACTTATTTGAAATAGGAAAACAAAATACATTATATCTGTTGTTAAGCGCTGTGAAATTCCCTCTTGCAAAGGAAATGTTTAAAATTAGGTTTAAACATCATTTAGTGCTTTATTTGTAACATTGTTGCTGAATTGAAGTACTGCTTTGTCTGGCCTACGATATAACTTGATTCAATAGTATTGCCATAGAGGTAAAGTTATCACAGTTTTAGTCACAGTATCTTTAAACCTATGCAACTATTTTTGAGTTATATTTCAATATTTTATTTTCTTCTGCCAACTTCTAACCAGAGAAGCAATCCAGTAAACTTGGCATAGACTTGGGATCAAATTTGTGACCATCTATCCCTGAAGAATTCAGTCAGCCTTTGGAATTAGGTTAGAAATTAGGATTTTGTAAATAAAATTACTTTTGCTTTCAGTCTGAAAAATGAACTTCAGGACTGTCTCAAAATGAAAACCAAAATGAGTTGTGGCAGAAGGCAATTCTGCATGGGTGTTTATTTAAAAAAAAGAAAAACACTTCTATGCAATTTGAATTTAAGTATTTAATACATTTCAGTGTGTGTTCTATTTCACCTTTGTGTGGAAGCAAAATGCTGATGTAATCAGTTGACTTGAATCTTGCCATTGACAATGTGTAGCTATCCTACTCCTTACTCTTTGATTGTTACACTGCAATAAGGAACTTGAAGCTGAAACAATTACTTTTACACATTGAGTAATATTTACAGCCCAGGAATGTACTGTTTGGTCCAGTGGATGCATTTTTCTGCCACATACAAGCAACACTGATGTGTAGATTATTTTTCACATCCTGTGATGTATTTTTACGTCCATGGGTGCTTTAAAAAAGAGAATATTTTATTTTGAGATTCTCAGTAAATTATTATAGAACTTTAGGTTGTAACCTAATTTCTGCTCCCAGATAACTCCAATTGTAGGTTTAATACTTATTTTCAGTTCTGAATGAATTTGCTTGGGAAAGTGATCAATTTATTATAAGAGTTACATTGTTAATTAGCTGATCAGCCTTCTATTCTGTCATCTGTCCTGAATTAAGTGTGTAGATAAATAATCAATGCACAATGGCCTGTTGCAGTACAAAAATGCTACATCCTATGTATCAAATAAATGGAATAGTAATGGGAGAGGGGAATGACATTGCTTTATCAACATTAATGTGCATTTATTTTTGTAATGTTCAATATGATTTCACAATAATGAATATTACAAGGCATTTTCTAATTAGATTCTATTTAACTGGAATATACAAATGATAAAAATACTTTTTGTGGTAATGCAGAGAAAAAGTAGGAAGTGAAACTTTCTTTATGCATATGCCAGTGTGTCATTATCAAAATGCAATCATCAGAAGGTAAGAGCCTTTCAGAACCATGTTTTCATCAACAGGTATATTCCTGCAAATTAAGCTTGTAAACAAAACTCTTGTTTGAATAAATTACTTGTGCTAATAAAGTTGAATAGACATTTTAGCCATCACCTGGTAAGAAGGATTTCATATTCCAGCCTATGAAACATCACAGTGATTCGTATATAAATGGGAAGTGTTAGCAGTTGTTATGGACCAGACCAAACCCCCTCAAAATATATTAAGAAGTCCAGACGTTAACATTTTCTTATTTTAAAGGTAAGTGTAAGGCATTGTGTCCTGGATGCAATTTGATTGGTCCAACTATCGGCTTTGAAACAAACACATTTTATTCATTCGCTATAATTAAAATACAGACAAAATGAAAAGAAAAGAATTAGCTTAACTTTAACTATCGAAATGCTTAACAAAATAATATATATATTAGCTACTACTAATTAACTAATAGTAATCTAATATATCTACTATATATCTAATATAGTAACATCCCAGCAACCACATTGCTAAAATTCAGTACATACATCCAATTAAAACCACTCAGTCCCAGGAATCATAGTACTTCCCTCTTCGTCAAGGGTACGAGAACGCCCCCCCACCATAACCTTTGTTTTCACACCTGTGGGGCCGTCTTTCTTTTCCCAATGATGGGGCCAAGAAATGTGACTTAGGTTTTTGCAAACTTACTCTTAACCAGGTTTATTACCAAGCCCGCCTTCTGAAGTAGGTTGAGCAATTCAGATAGATGCTCCAAATG